TTGAGAGATGAGCCTCGATCACTTTTGCTTGGTCATTCAAAAATAAATATAAGAGGGTCGTGCGCAATTTTAATGAAGTGTTATGTTGAACAAACTAATTTCAATGCACATCAGCCTAGTGCTTATCAGATTGATTCTATTTGAATTGTTCAGATTTAAAAGTTTATTTTATTTTTACTAAAATTACATATTTAATTTGAATAGCTTAATTTAATATTAAAATTTTTTAAAATTGTTATTAGTCAACTATTTAAAAGTATATTTTGAACAATCTAAATTTAAAATTTTTAAATTACAATTTTTTTTCTTTTTTTTAAAGTGCCAGTTTTGATATTATTTTCATTACATTTACCAAAGTCAAAATTTATAAAAATTCTAAAAAAATTAATATTAAATCTAGACTATTAAGAATATATTTGGACAATCAATGTAAAAAATTTTAAAAAATTTTAATGTTTAGCTGTACTATCCAAGTTATATCTGTATTGTTCAAATCGATAATAAAGTAAATTTATTAAAATTTTTATAATTTTATTTTAATAAATAAAAATAAAAATAAAAATAAAATGTTTAAATGTGATGCTAAATTGCTGATGAGCACTAAAATTGATTAATATTTATGTTGGAAAGAAATTAATTAACGTCTACACTTTCTATTAAGAAAATTCTATCCTAATCCAGTTCCACTGCCCTACCATACTCCCAATGGTGGATTAAGGATAACAGGCGTCCTGATGATTGGCAGATCATATTAAGGTTAGTGGGAAATTGCAGCTTGTTTAAAAAATAAAATCAAATAAACAATGCAATCAAAAAACAGGCGAGGCCTAAAGCTACTCCAGTTGAGATCCTCGTCCCTGAACTCGGGGAACTGGAACGCAAGAGGGAAAAAGAAACCATACAATATAATCAGCCTTGAATTTCGGGGTAAGGAATCATACTCTTTTCTATTAATCTTAAACCTACTCTTCCTTCCCCCAAGACATTCATAAGGACGGTTCTGATATAAAACCAATCATTGATAAAAGTCACTACAAATATACTTTAAAACGGGACCATTCTTCTAATTTGGAAGTTGGTATTGAGGAGAATGATTGCCTCCACTTTGGTATGATGCATGTACTAAGTGTTTCCCAATTTTGGTGTTCACAAGGGAACTGGGAGATCCACCTTTTTTCTTCCCATTATTCACCAGGGACTAATGCCTTATCAGCTAATTCAAGCATGTTCGCCTGTTGTTTTTCTCTCTGTTCCCCCACACCCACCATTCTTCATTCATCAATTATTTATGCCCTCAAACTTCTTAGAGTTTAGTGATATAGATATAAGTGTATATGTGTACAAATTTTTTTCCCCTTTTTGGATTTTATTATAAAATATATTCTAAAAACACTTTGTTCCTTTCTTATATCACACTCAAATTTCTTGTTACTCATATATATAAAGTTTGGGATAAATTAATGGCACGTGTAGGTTAGAAAGTTAGTAAGAGAGACCAAATCTCTTTTTGGTACAACAAGCGGTCTCCTCTTCTGGAACCTCTTATTAAGTATGCTTTTCCCAGTGTCGAGCACATCCTCCGTGCAAGAGTTTCTAATCTTTATAACCCCATAGGATGATAGAATTTTATCCTCCTGAATCATCATCTCTATCTTGAGGTGCTAAAACATATTATGCTTGTTCAACCACCCAATCCTTATGGAGATGAAGATGCGCTAGTTTAGAGACCTTCCACTGATAGAAACTTCTCTGTCAAATCTGTTTACAAGACTATGGTCTCTCATAAGAAACAAACTAATGCCAACATTTGGTCTAGAATTTGAAAGTGACCCACTTATAAAAAAATTAAGTACTTCCTTTTAAAAGCTGCTTGGGACAGACTCCAAATCAACTCCATTCATCTCAAAGGGAGTACTCTTTTTCAATGAATTTGCACTTTTGGATGCAATTCTCCTGACTCTCCTATTCATATTCTGAGAGATTGCAAAGAAGCTCACAATATTTGAATTAAACTTGTGAAACCTTCAAAACTTAACACTTTCTTTTCCCTTTTTATATAAGATTGGATAATTTGAAATGTAAAAGTCAAGGCAAGAAACCTAAACACAAGAAGGATCCCTTGGCAAAAGATTTTTGCTCAAGTCTGTTGGAACATTTGGAAGGCATATTGTAGAAAGATATACTTAGAGGATTTCACCCAAGACATTGATATTGCTTTTTCTAGTAACACAAAGGACACAGCATATGAAAATAACACAAGAAAACATATTTTTTCCTAAAATAATAATAATCTATTAGCCTAGGTTTCTTCAAAATATATTAATTCTTATATTTTATCATTCTCCCCTGCTTGATGGAACTCTCCTCTAGAGGAAGAAAAAAAAAAGTTGATGTAATTTCACTAGAGTGCGATCTAGGGAATTCCTCCCAATAACAACTAATCTAGAGATACTTTCGAACATGCACACTCACACACACTCATTCAAACATAAACAGTGAGGAAATGGGAGAGGGAAGCAGAACAGAAAAGGATATAAAGGAGAACGAGGGACAGGGAAGGAGAGATTAGAGGGGGAAATTTGAAATAGAGAGGAAGAGAGGGAAGAACAAGAAACAGAGGGAGGGTTGGGGGGGGGAGATAGAACTGAAGGGGGAGAGAGCTTTCAGAAGTTAACCCATAATATTCATTTATTCAGCCAAAAGTCCCCTTACAAGAGCAAAGCCTAGTCTATTTAAACTAAAGTTGCCTGCCTATTAAGGAAACCTTAATCACTCATCCATATAAAGCCACTTTTCTGATTTCCTTTTACAAAATATTAAAATAACACAAAGGACACAGCATATTAAAATAACACAAGAAAACATATTTCTTCCTAAAATAATAATAATCTACTAGCCTAGGTTTCTTCAAAATATATTAATTCTTATACTTCATCTACGCGACTCTCTAATATCAATATACATTTTGACTCAATGAAAGCTTTCTCTCTTATTCAACATAATTTCTCTGATAATCATACTCTCTCTGAAACCATCAATAAAATCAGAGATTTGTCATGAAAGACTGGATTATTACTTTTGACCACACGTTCAAGGAAGCAAACAAATGTGCTGACTTTCTTGCTTATTAGGCCTCTCAAGAAAATTTAGATCCTATAATTTTTTATCATCTACCCTTAGGATGTAGATCCTTTATAGAATCTGACATAACCTGATTTATGTACATCTTCAACATGGGTTTTCTGTGGCCTTATGTTCAAAAAAAAAAACCTACTCCCTTTGTTTCTATATATAAGAGGTTTTCTAAAACCTTTTTCCCCCTAAATATAAGAGTTTGTTAACATATTTTTTAATGAATGGATCATTATACCCTTATTAAATTGAAAAAAATAGATAAGTACTCTCATTAATTTACTTTAAAAAAAGATATTCATCTTTTATTTATAATACGCAGGAACAAAATTGAAATGTTACCGTACTTTTAATTATATAACTAGCTTTTATTGGTTTGTGAGAATTGGAAAATAAGCAAGTTAATTATAAAACTATAATATTTAGAAGGCACGGATTTCTTTTGGTCCCTTCCATTTAATCTCTTCTGAAACATAAATATTATCAGAGCGAGATTTTCCTCCACCATATCGTATAATTTTTACTATACACGATGAGGGTTTGCTTTCATGTTGTTGTATTATTTAGATTAAGCACACCTCATATATACTCTCCATTACTTTTAAATTTTTAACAAAACAAACTAAATTTTCTTTATATAAGGATTTGAAATTCATTGTCTTTTGGACAATTTGACCAGATCTGTTATTTCGTTAAATATTTAAATTTGGTCGTGAAAATAAAAAAGAAAGAAATTTTCATTTTATACGTTTTTTAATATTTTAAAGCCAATTATATATTAATACTAAATTTGATTCGATTGAAAAGGAAAGAGGAAGAGAAACCTGTGTATTTAAAGTCATGTATTTAATACCTTTTTTTTTTTGGAAAAAGGAAGCCAATATATAGACCCTCCCGTTCATGCTTGAGTACAATGCTATAACAGCATAACATAACGTATAGACAACAATTGAATTAAGTAAGGTATTAAATTTAACCTTTGTAAATGGAAATAATTATATTGGGAGAGATTTAATAATCGAGGCTCAAACTTGGCTTGAGTTCAAATTAATCAATAATAGTAAATATCATATTAGTTAAAGAACAATGAAATTAAAAATGATTGATTCTTAAGGTGGTTTTCTTTGGATTGACATTTTTAACAGAGCTTTGATACACAATAAAATTGATACAAAAAAATTTAGATGGAAAATAATATTCTTGTATTTACTTGAAAACAATAAATATTTTTTTAAAAAAAGCCTATGATCAAATAATATTTCATCATCACCGGTACAAAAGCTAGTAATAATTTTTCTCTCCATGGAAACCGAAGGGGAAAAAAAAAAGTCTAAATAGGATTTTTTTTTTGTGGTAATTTTTTTTTGGCCAGACATGTTTTGGCATATTAATTACAAGACTTCGTGCCCCCCTCCAAAAAAAAAAAACCAAAGAAAACTATTTTGTTGGCGAAACAGCAGAAGGCTTGTGTTTTTTTGTAAAATTAAATTTTAAAATGAGTTCGAATAAATAATAACACTTGACAAGACGACTTCAAAACGGCCAAAGTTTGGAGTTATAATATCGGCGGGAATGGAGGTTATCTCTTTAAAAAACAAACAGGAACTGCAAATCTGATCACGTTTCTAGTTCACTCACAGGGACAAGATTGTCATTCAAGACGGCATCCAGAAGGTGAAATCCGTCATTTCGTGTGACACTAGTTCACACTTTCCATTCCACCCTCGTAATAGAGTTTGAGTGTGCCTGAAACACAGAGATAGCTCCATGCCGGTCTTCATCATTACACTTCCCATGCTTTATATTTCTCCACATTCATCGCTCCTCATTTTCCCCAGACAACCAAACACTGCCAACTTATTCAGAAAGAAACACAATGACAATTACTTATAGACTCTTTTTCTTTGTAATTTACTGGCTGCTCGCGGTATCCTTCGTCGGAGTTAAGCTTCTTCCAGCCCAGTTCTTTGATCTAATCACGTTCAACGGCTCATATCAAAGTAAAGTGCAGATAGGTCAAGTTCAATTCTCGGTTTCCGGTGAAAAAGTACTCCAAGCTGTTGTTCTCGACCAACATGGCGATGATCTGCACGGGAACAAATCTAGTTACCCTATAGTAGCTGTATGTTTCACTCACTTTCTCCGTTGGAGTTAGTTTTTATTTACGCATTGATTATTGCTCTCTCTCTCTCTCTCTGGTTTTTATTCTCCCTTTCTTTTTGCTTTGATTTAGTTTTCAATTTTCTTAGTAGCTAATTTTTATTCATGAACTATCTATCAGTACTTATGGTGGAATTAGTTGCTTATATTGTCTGGATCTCCGTCTCTGATTACATGATGATCGATGAAAAATATATGACAGAATACGAAAAAAATCCTAAGCAGAGAACAACAGCTCGAAAGAGAGCTCGCGGGAGCAAGAGCCTCGATTCGCAGGGCATTAGCTGATAGAAGTAATCTCTCTTCGGTGTCCACGGACAACGGCGGTGACGATTACATTTTCTCCGGAGACATTTATCGCAACCCGCGCTTATTTCATCAGTAAGCCCTCCAGACCATTTTTTCCTTTTAACCTTTTGGTTTTGCTTTTTTATTCCTTCTATGATTCACCAAAATAATAATGTATACCATTCAGTAGAAATAGCTAGCATAGCTAATTTTTCAAATTAAAACTAATATTAAAAAAAAAACTATCAAGGACTCTGCACTTTCTTGTTTCAGATATAACTATAACTGGTTAAATGAAGAAAAAGGCTTATTCACTGTTTTAATTTGCTAATAAGTACCGCCCCTCAAAATTTTTTATCCAAGGGTGTCTCACTTTTTGAGTTTTTTTAAGGTTGAATTATGTTGAAGTCTAACATATAAAAAAATTAATTATTATAAAATTCATTAATAACTAACATAAAGTTGTTGACATAAGGCCATTTACAATAGCCTTATATCAATTGTTAATAAACTTTATAATAATTAATTTTTTTATGTAAGATCTGTATGTAATTTTTTCTTTTTCTTTTTTTTTTATAAATTTTATCTCTTATGATGGCATAATTCCTTTTCTTCTACAAGACGTTAGGGGTGCCAGCCAAGTGCTGAAGTGTACTTGCATTCATCCATTCGAGAGTTCGAAGTTCAAATAATAGAGCTTCTGTTAAAAGCCTCTTTGCTACATGTACTCATTAAAACAATAGGATGGCGTGACAAGCGCATATCACTTATTAAAACTCTGCTGTGGTCATTTCATCACACCCGTTCATCCCCATGATTCCTATCACGAGAACCACCATAATAAGTACTTTGCACGTAACTGCAATCTTGATCTTATATCATTATGGTTGCCTTCAAAGATTAGCTATCCTTTCTCTCAATCACAGTTTATCACTTTCAATGTCCAATCGCCAACTTTAATGATGCAAATGTGATGGTCTATGTCAGTATGGTCTTATATATGGTTTAGTGGCATAAAGTTCACCCTTGATGATGGTAGGTTATGATTTGTTCAATCCTACTATAGCTCCAGGCTTTTAATTAATTTTCCCTATATACTAAAAAAATGTGATAGTCATCTCCGAGCAACATAAAGTACTCCCTCCAAGTCCTAAAACGTCATATGAGCTATTTGAGGTTCTTACAATAACAAATTTTCTTTCTAGAAATTAATTATCTTTTTCCTATGTTTAGGATCGCATAGAGGTCAAATCCAAAAGAAAATCCCTCAATATGTTACATATCTGTAAAAAAATATTAATTAATTAAACAAAGTGATTGGCCATTCTGTCTGAGATTTTTGAGATTTATTTTGAAAGGAATTAACGAATTGTCAGGGGATGACTGATTCTTTACATGAAGGAGTTTCTACTTGAAAAATATTGCAGGAGCTATTTGGAGATGGAGAAAAGATTCAAGGTGTACGTTTACCAAGAAGGGGAACCACCATTTGTTCACTACGGTCCGTGTAAGGACATATACTCAATCGAAGGCAGGTTCCTCCATGAGATGGAGGACGGAGTCGGGATGTTCAGGACCAATGATCCCGATGGGGCTCACGTGTACTTCCTGCCATTTAGTGTGACCTGGATGGTTAAGTACCTCTATACTCCGCCCACGAAAGATCTCAATCCTTTAAGGCGGTTTGTATCCGATTATGTGAGAGTGATTTCTACGAGGTACCCCTACTGGAATGGATCTCATGGTGCTGACCACTTCATGCTTGCCTGTCATGATTGGGTTAGTTTAATTCCTTTTATATATTTTGTCTATTTTCCTACTCAGGAGTTGCCGAATAGTAATGAAGCTGTCATCAAAATTAATCATATAATTTACTCAAAAAAAAAAATCATATAAGGTGTAATATACTTTTGTTCAGCTTGCTTGTTTTCTGGATGTTTCTGCAGGGTCCTCATGCATCAGAGGGCGACCCTTTCCTCTACAATACCTCCATCAGGGTCTTATGCAACGCCAACACTACCGAAGGGTTCAACCCTAAAAAAGATGTAAGCTTGCCAGAAATCCACCTTTACGGAGGCAAAGTATCTCCTAAACTCCTTTCACCCCCACCGGACAGTGCTGAGCGTCCCCATCTAGCCTTTTTCGCCGGTGGACTTCACGGCCCAATCCGTCCCATCCTCCTCCGTCTCTGGAAGAACCGTGACAAGGATCTTCGAGTCTACGAATACCTTCCCAAAGGCCTGGATTACTATTCCTTCATGCTCGGCTCCAAGTTTTGCCTTTGTCCAAGTGGATATGAAGTAGCTAGCCCAAGAATCGTGGAGGCAATTTATGCCGAATGCGTGCCGGTGATCCTATCGCAATATTATGTGTTACCGTTTAGTGATGTACTGAAGTGGGAATCATTTTCAGTGCAGATGGATGTTTCAGATATTCCAAGGTTGAAGGAGATTCTCAGTGCAATTCCAGAGAGCAAATACCGGAAGCTCAAGGAGGGGGTAAGGGCTGTGAGAAGGCATTTTACTTTGAATCACCCGGCCCAAAGATATGACGTCTTTCACATGATCCTGCATTCAATATGGCTAAGGAGATTGAATGTCGGACTCGCATAGATTATTTTTCCACGTTTACCCATTAAGTTTGGTAGAGTAATTTAGCTCTCACTTTTTTCTGTCCTCGATCCATCGGTCTCAAATAGCACCCACTAATTTTTCATGTAGAAGCGAATACTAGTTTGGTACTTGTGAAGTTCACGACCAGTTCTCATAGAACAGAAATTTTTAGGATTAATAGTACGTAAATAACATGTACGGCTTGAACGTGCACATTTATTTTGAAGCATTCTCCGAATCTTCAATTCCAAATTAATGCAATATATGCCCGCTGGAATATGTTGAGAGATGTCTCTGGTCTAAGAATGTAAATTTATCATAAAAATTATTCCATTAGATTCTTCAATACACTTCGTTAAAAAAAAAAAGATTCTTCAATACACGTAGATTAAGTACCCTAATAATCAATTAAAAAAAGTGTTCTGCAAGAGAGGTGCACCACTTTTTTATTAAAAAAAAAAACAATGATTTCATTGTTGATGGAAAGCAAGCTTTCATATGAGAAGTCTTACTTCAAAGTATTGTTACTAGTTACGTGAGTTTGACGTTTAAAAATTTTGAAAAAAAAATATTACACCAAAAGCATACCGCATATTGTTTTAATCTGCAAGTTGAATATATATATTCCTTCCATTTAAAAATATAAGGTACTTTTTGAGGAGTTGGATGTTAAAAAATTTAGGACATTTTTAATCTTTCGAGGTGTAATCATTACTTTTTTTTAAAAGTATCCCTATTAATAATGATTTTATATTTATTGTAAGTGTTTAATAAGAATAAATATAAAAAAAATAAGGTTGGTTTGAAACTTTATTAAAAAAAGTTAATTAAAAATGCTTTATATTTTTTAACGAATGCAGCGTGTGTGTATATATATAGTATAGAATTACCAGCTGACTGGTATGGACCAAATGGAGATCAGAAAGTTAGTTCTTCAGAGACTAATTAAAGTCCCTTCTCTAATAATGTTGGCCACCTGGGCGAACCGCAACTTAGTGGCGAGCGGGGTTTCTAGAACCTCCAATCATGTATCGTATCACCTTAAATCATTCAAGTGCGCAACTTTGACTTGGAGATTAGCAGCTAAATAATTAATTTATATTTAGGCCAAAAAAATAATCAATTTATTTCTTTAAAAATGAATGGCCAATATATGTTTGATCATGCTTCAAAGGTGGGTCCATTTTCAGTACTTATGGGTGATGAGAACCCTAATGAGATGTGTACCATATCCAGATTTTCCATTTTGATGGCCCATATTTAACATTTTTATATTTTTATTTATATTTTATATTTTTTTAAAAAAATATATTTATCACAAAGGCTAGATAGTGTAAGTTTAATTTGGATTGTTTAATTTAATATTAAAATTTTTTATAATTTTTATAAATTAAATTGACTATGCAAATCTATCACAAATAGTTCAGATTTAATATTAAATTTTTTATTGGTAAATTATTTAAGATATAGATAATATCCTAATTAGCACTTTTAATTTTTTTTTAGACAAATGTAAGTTGAAAGTTTTAAATTTAGATTGTTTAGAGCAAATCTGGATAGTTAATTTACAAAAAATTTTAATATTAAATTTAAAACATTCAAATTAAATCCATTCTGTCCCAGTTGATGATAAGTCCATATATAAAATTTTTTAAATAAATTTTACAATTTCTTATTTTAATAAATATAAAATAACATATAAATTTAAAACATTAAATCTGCACTGTTTATTTGGATGGTCCTGGGTGACCGAAAAGGAATTCGCTTCAGAGCATACGAGTGAACGCCGCCCACTCACAAATTGGACGTAACATACATATGCACAGTAGTATATATTGATGATGCAATGGGACATTTTTTTGGCTTTCTGACAAATGAGGTTTAATTTTGAATAATCTAGAGACAGAAACGTATAAAGTTGGTATATTATTTACAAAGGAATAATACAATTGAAGCAAAGAAGATCGAGAAGATGCGTAGCTGCTAGTCATGAGCTGATAAGATGAGTAAGGCATGAGAAAGACGATCAATGTGAGATCTGAGCTTGTGTCCGAAGGAGATGGGGGTGGTGTTGGCATCGTCAGCAGTACGAATGTTATGGTTGATGTGAAGCACGGTAGGACCCATCTCCCTCTTGACAGACTGAACGAAGTAATCAATGTCCACTTCATAATTCCCAGATACATCTCTCACATAAAAAGCATTCACAGACTTCTCTCCATGCGTCTCTACGTCCGCTCTAACCACAGCTAACCCATTCTCTCTCAGCATCCTCGTTATGTCCGATAGCATCCCAACTCTGTTCTCTGCGCGCAACTCCACCCGAACTCCCTAATTAGTAATTTCCCAATCAATATCAGTATATCACAACCACAACACATACCTTATTATCAACACACACACACACACACACACATACAAATCTAGTTAGTTTTAAACGGCAGTGAGAATTTTGCTGGCTAGCCGAGCAATGTTCCAACCTCACAAACACGGCGTTCTATTGCTGCCTCCAAGCATTTGGCCACTCTTTCCTTCTCGCTTTCTGTACTCAAAGCATACCCGTCTATATGCCGAATGAAATACTCCTGCACATATATGACCCATTTGACAGTTCGTAAAATCATACATCAAGTTGAATGGCATGGATATTTGGAGTGTGAGAATATGTATACCTGAAAGGCATAACCTCTATGGGCGCTGATAGAAGCGTGGAAAATGACGTACTGCATGTCGGTGAGAGTGCAGACAGCATCAAACATGAGCCTGGGTCGATCTTTACACTCTATACTTACTATAGAATACCCCTTTTGCTTGCAGCTTTCAATTCTCACCATTCTTTTCCTTCTCATCTCTTCCCCACCGCTCGGCATCTCTGCCGTCGTTGGACCTGAAGGCGCTTCGAAATCCCTAACGGAAAGCATGAGCTGGTGCAGCCTCCGCTCCACGGTGGTCATGGTGCCTTCTCGGCCGTGGAGTTCCACCATCTTCACCTCTTGCTGGTTGCCTCTCGGACTATTAGGGTTGGTGGTGGCGCGGAGGACAGTGGTGAGGCGATCTTCGATGTAGGCGAGGCGGCAAGGGTCTTCGATCGGGGAATGTGTGGATTGGTCTGTGATGTAGGCGACGCAAGCTAATCTGGCATTGTGGGTCCAAGCGTGAGCCTCGTCGATGTTACAATGGAGGTCGGCGAGGGCGGCAGAGATCTCGGAGAAGAGACCGGGGTGGTCGGCCCCGGTCATCTCGATGGCGGTGTGCTCGTTTGGATGAAGATAGTTAGGGAAAACCTTGCTGGAATAGGCCTTTATGGAATGTGGAGACCCTCTTGACCTTCCTATGGCCTGCATCGGCAAACTCAGAAAGACAAAGTGAGAAAAAAAAGAGTCCGTACGCACTCTCCGATAAGATTGATGACATATATATATATATATATGCAAAGATCTCCGTGTTTTTTATACCGTGATAAGTCATTAATTATAACTTAAGAAAGAAATCTAGAGGCTGGATGATAGAGAATTCTAAGTATGATGAGTGCATTTCAAATAAAGCCCCAGAGGAAGGGGGGAATTGCAATACCTGCTGGATATAGTTAATGACTTTCTGGTCCGTTAGTTTGTTGCCATGTTCATCTATAACATGAAACACTGCAAATTTTGCCATGAACTACAAATTAGAAGTAAAGCCATTGAAGCTTTGACAAGAGATCATTAAAGTATAGTGAGTACCATCCATAAACCAGCCAGCATCAGATGAAATATAGCTTTTGCAGATTTGAAGGTTCATGTCCGTTAAAACTTGCACCACTTCTAGAAGGAGACCCTGCTTGTTTACGCTATCCACCTGACATGATTCCACACATAATTTATTTCTTAATCATAGTACTGCTGTTAGCTAGCTATCTGAACCAGAGATTCATTAGAGAATATCATTGACTTCTGTGTTTTTCACAATCATCTCTTTTACTTACCTTTACTACGGTACAATCCTCTGTGTTCTCATTGTCGATGGTGACTCTGCAACTGCGAGGAAAATAGAGTAACACACTTGCGTATGATTTAATTATCTGTTTTTGGAGCCAAGCTAGATTGAAATTTGAAGGGTTGAAGAAGAAGAAACACTTACGTGGGACCATTTATCCTTTCTGGGAGAGTATCAAACTCAGGATCAAAGTAAGGCCAACAAACCTTCTTCATGCTGCAATTCAATTAGAGATACGAAACAGCATTGTGAACAATATATCTCTTCTTTTATTGTGTAGAGATTATGTGGAATCTGCGGAAAAGAATGAAAAGGACATAATGGGAATATACAGATTGATCCATGAGTTTACCAAGGTCATGAAAAGATATTATCTCGGAGTCTTTCTGATTCTGATGTAATCTATATGGGCAAGAAGACGTCAATGAAGAGTCTTCTTCTGCCATGTCAAAACTTACAAGCTTTTTTGCTGCTTTTACCCTAACAATGTGGATAATATGCTAGTTTCTCTCTCAGCTTCAATTCTGTTCTACTCAAATATTAATGTGGGACGATTGTCAAGAATGAATGCATTAGATTACTAGCTTGGGGCATGCCTTTGCGTTAAAAATATGTAGAAAAAGCATTGAATTATTGGCATGAACATCTGAACTAGGTTTTCAAAAATAGACAATCGAACGAAGAAGATTAATGACTATGGCGAAAGGATCAAAAGGAATATCAAGATCACAAAGAAGAAAGAAAAATAGTTAATGAGGATGTGATAAAAGACTCAAAAACTGGGATGAGCTTACGTAGAAGGTGAGGATTGAGGAGCCCAGATTACAATACCAACCCAGCAATGCCAAGAAAGAAAAATGCGGATGAGATCGATGTGGGATGAGAGAGAAGAATCAAAATGTGAGTTCTCTCTCTCGAAATAGAAAGAAAAATATGTATCTCAATAAACAATGCCAACAATTTTAGTCTGTCAATATATTTATAACAAGAGGGAGAAAGAGAAGATGATGATCACCATGATTAGGTTAAATCAAGTGACCCCAAATTTGTGGAAGAGAATGGATCGAAGAAAAATTTGAGACCAAGTTGGGAACGGCAAGAAACGGACACGTATACAAAGTCAAATGAGACAAATCATTAATTCCACCAGGTTTTGGAATTATTTCCTTCTTCCCACGATTTTCTCCATGCATATCCATTTCACTTACAGTTAATATATGAAGCCGTCCGCCCCAAAATATTACGCTAATCCACGTTAACTATAAAATGAAAAGTCACAATAATTTTTGATAAATTTTATTAATGTAAACAATTTGAAGTTATTAATTTTTATCTCCAGTAGAATTTAAATGTTCGAAATGAATCAGACCATTAAATCTACCTGAGATTATCATTCTTTTTTTTTTTTGCCAGCATATAAATTTCTTTCCGTAGCGTGGCGTCCCATTAATTTGAATAGTACATAAATCACGGGACGGTCTTGTGGTAGTTTCTTCTTTCTTCTCAGTTTGAAAAAGTACCGTCGAGCACTTCAAATCCAAATCCCTTTAGGCCATGTTTGGTATGATAAAAATTTTTTTAATAGAATCGAAATCGAAATCGAAATTGAAATTGAAACTGGAATTGGAATAGAATTGGATTTAAAAGTGTGTTTGGTATGATGATGGAATCCTGATATAATTTTAATAAAATATCAGTATTTAAAATAAGAAAAGACTAAAGTGTCCTTTTTAAAATAAAAAAAATTATATTGAAGGAGGGAGAAGGGGCAAATTGGAGAAAGGAAACCATAGAATCGGATTCATGATGCATGTAATGGAATTGAATTCTGCCAAATTTTCTTAAATTCAGATTCCAAAGAATCATAATTATTGCATACCAAACACACATGTTAACAGATTTTATGTCCAATTTCATTTCTTTCTCCATAATTTCAAGCTACCAAACGGGGCCTTAGTCTTTCTCATTTCTTCAATTGGCATAAAGAGCCTTTCCGAAACGGGATGCCTTTTAATTTTCATTGGGAATTTTATTTTTTTTGCTTTTGCATATATAACTCATATTATAAAATGAAACCAAACAAACAATATAACATTTATTATATTTTGTATTATATTTGATTTATTATATTTGTTATTGATATGGCGTTACATATCAATGATAAATCTCTTATAAATTTTTAAATTTTTAATAATAAATTTTTATATATTAATATAAATTGGTCATACTTTCAAATTGTCAAAAATTTAATTTATATTTTCTGGGTACAAGAATTTTTTTTTTAAGTCAGTTAGCCAATTTATCCTCTTTTTTTTCGTTGAATTTTCATTGGAAAGCCTTTGATAACAGATGAGAATGAAGGGGTCTTCTGTTTTGGGAAATTTCTAGATAGCTATTGTCTATCATAATTTATCACGACTTTCAAAAACGCCACATTATTTATGGCCGAAAGGGGCAAAAAAAAAAAAAACGCCATATTATTTCAAGAAACGCGTTGATCCTACGGTTTTGTCATGGTTTGTAATTATCCAATATATGTAATTATCCAATGGCTAGCTGAATTAGTATTCAGGCATAGTTGACCCCAAAAAATAATAAAAAAAAAAAAAAAAGAGGTTCAGGCGCGAGCTGCTTGGTTGTAATGGCCTGCAAGTTGAGGGCAGGTTTTGACAGTGGAAAATTTGAAGTCTTCAGACCTAAGCTTTGTTAGGTCCTAGCTATAGCTCAGTTGATGGTAAGTGCAAACCTAAAAGCTGGCAACCTCACCTGGTACAAAGAAGGGCAAGAGCTCGTCTAGATTCATCAACTACAAAAATTTCGGACCTGGTCAGCAGCAATTATTAATTAGAAGAGAAGATGATTTACGTTAATCTGAACATATCATATTTGAAATTGAAGTGGGAACCAATGGGAGCGCATCTGTGAGAATCACTGCGATTGTATTTCCTTTTCTTCTCTTCTTTAATGAAATTAAGATTTTCCTTCTTTGTGAAGAATCCCACGCACAGCCAAGATTTGAATCTTCCATTGAGGATCCTAACTTCCAAGAAACGCAATATGGAGCCCACTTGCGAAAAAAAACTAGAGGGAAGCAATTGACTTTATACAAAGAAGAAAAATTATACTTGGTTCAAGATATATTAATCTCTTCTGATAATAATATAAGACATTGATGTCATTTAAAATTCTTACTTAATTCAACATATAAAATATTAGGTAATTTTTATAATTATTTTTTTAATTATACATTCTTATTTTATTTATTATTACTCTTTTTGAAAAAAAAAATGATACATTGATCATTGGAATTGTAATTGTCATTATCAAAACATTTATATGGGTTATCTAACGATGGTAATTGAAAAAAATGTAATGTTTTTAAAAGATTAAGCTTTAAATTAACTTTTTTGGATAATGATGAAGTAGTTATTACAAACATCCTATATTGTGATTCGGCGAAGTGCATTATTCAAGTTTGCCCAAATTAATCATTTTAATATAAAGGTAACATTGAAATTGAAGGTCATAATGGCTAAGTAAATTAAAATTATTTAAACAATAAATATGAAAGTATAAAGTTTTATCTTAAAACCAACTTGGCAAACTTGTAATTTGGATTCCATGCCAATTCAATTCAATTTGGGTGATAGGAAGAATTTTAGTTAAGGATTAGAGAAGGGACTTAATTTCATGTGAGTCCAAAAAAATTTTAAAATTTCAATTCAGTCTAAAGGAGAAAAATCAAAAAGAATTTTGATAATAAAAAAATCAAAATACCCTTCACCTATTATATAGAATTATTAATTATTAATTTTCTTACTCTACTTGTTAATTTAGGAATATGAGTAGTAAATTGCACGAGTTGATATGTCAGTAATTATATAAAACTTGATATGAGTTGTTAAATTGCTAATCTTACTTGTTAATTTACTGATATCAATATTGTATGTTACTTACAGGTCTTATAACTTACTAACATCAATTATAAATTACTAATAGGTCTTATAATTTGCAACTAATGTTAGTAAATTAATAAGTAAAGTTACTAAATTAATAACTAATATTACTGACTGTCTGACAAACGAATGTAATTTACAAGTGATATTGGTAAATTAATAAATATAATAAAAAATTAATAATCAGTGATTCTGCATAACATGTTAAAACTATTTTGGTCTTTTCACCTTCAAGATTCTTTTGACTTTTATCTCCTAGACTCAACTAAAATTTTGAAATATTTTTGAATCCAAATGAAATTAAATCTCTTCCCTAATACTTAATTGAAATTCTCCCTTTCTTGTAATTATTTCGATAGCTCCTTTTTTTCTCGAGCAAACCTATCCATCTCTGCCCTCATTTCAGACTGTCAATTCAAGAAGAACACCATGCATTAATTCGCAATGCACAATCAACATGAGATAACGCCAACACACTATTAACTATGACAAAGAGTACCTTTAGACGATTGGCGATAGCCTCAGATTCGCTCAGCTTTTGTGACATATTAGATTTTTCCCCAATCAAATTAGACACCTCAGCTTTTCCTTGTTCACGAATGTGAATAATTTCATCTTCATTGGCACATAACTAGTGGCGCCATAGAGCAGCACAATTAACATTTGCAAGTTCAGCAACTTCACTCATCATGCTCAAAACAGGTCTTATAACTTCCTGCTCCTCATAGGCCACAGTAACCAGGATATCCAAATCCAAGTCCACGTCATCCGTATTGCCAGTAGCACGATCAACAAGCCTCTTCAGCATCTTTCCCCGATAAGATTCATTGGCATGCCATCTAAACAATGTTGTGTAGAGCAATTTCATAAATTCTCTTACACATGTATCTCTAGAAAGGGCCAATAATATTTCAGCAAGACCAAGAACTGAAGCAAAATCATCCCCTTAAACTCCCAAGTGCTCATTACCATCTTAATCTCCACCTACTAAAGAATTTGAATGTTTAAAATTCTCAGCACTACATCTAGCACTATTATTAAGTCTCTGAGAGAGGGGCCTTTCCAATGCCAAGGCTACAGACTGAGCAACAATTGTGTCTCGAGCTACATGTCACAACCTCTGTTCAAAAACAAAAAAGAAGCCACGAGGTTGCTGTGCTTTTAGAGATGTTCAAGATGATGTAAAGAATTCCAAGAGAGTCCAAAATGTTTAAGAAGAATTTAGTACATTCTAAAATGTTCTAAAAGCATCTAGAATAATCTAAAAATATTTAAAAAACTTAAAAGTTTCTAGAAGATTCTAGAAACTTAGAAAGAAATATGAAAATGTTTAGAATATTCTAGAATGTTCTAGAACATTCTACACATATTTTAAAGATTAGTCTAAAAATATCCTTATGAATGTCTAGATATTTGTTGTAAATATTTTTATAGAATATTCTAGAAAATAAATGTACACCATTAAATTAGATTGATCTCCACTGTCTATTAAGGAGGTGGGATAGCTCTAGAATAAGGAAGAAGTTTATAAATATCCCCACATCCCTCTTTTGTAACTAACAAGAAAAGCAAGCAAAGTTCTAAGCTTCCAAATTCTCTCATCTAAACTCTCTTCTTTCTTGTATTTGAATTTCCTAGTTTTTTTGTCTACAATCTGAGGGTTCGGCCAATTTAGCAAAGATCAAGAGGTTGATTAAGCTAAAGTCGGCACAATTCAAGGATAAGGAAGTTTCAAGACTATAACATATAGCTCTCTCATATATTTGACAAGCTTCAACGGCAAGACAAGGTATAGAGAGCATCTCAATCAACACACACACACATATAT